TTTCTCCTCTCCCTTACTCTGCAAATAAGAAACTAGAACCAGGAGGGTGTGCTGCCCAAGGTCACAGTACCCTGCTAAGGTGGCCATGCTGGTTGGTGCTCCCTCAGTTAGGACCTGTGCTATGCACCATCCTCCCCTGCTTACCCCTCAGGAGACTACTCACGTTCATTCAGGTTCTTGGTATTTCCTATCTTTTGGGTGTGGGTTTTCTCTTTCTATGGAAACAGATGGCTTTGTTTCAAATCTCCTCCCTGATGTTTCAGAGCTGTTCAGCCAAGTGATTTGTGGTGTCATCTATCTCATTTCCATTGACTATCTTATCACTCTCGAGTGACTGATGTCAGTCATGAAGTCTCTGAAATCAGAACCAGCCAAAGAGTACTCCCATTTAACCTAAGTAACATTCAATTCCAGCAAAGCTCAGAAAATAGGATGAAAACTGTCTATTAACTCCAGGTGATCTGAAATAGCTCTGTTTCTTTCAGAGTCAACTTGTGTGAGGGGAGATTTATTACAGAATCTGCTTTTTCTCTTCCAGACTCAGGTAATCCTATGTATCTATATAGAGAACTCTCCACACGTGGGGTGTGTGTGTGTGTATGTGTGTGTGTGTGTGTGTGTGTGTGTTGTGGTGTACATATATAAAATAAAGAATCCATCACAGAACCAAGAAACTCAAACCTGGCTACCATCGAGCAGATTCTAACTCCTGGCAACCCTCCCCTGGAGTTTCAAGACTGTCAATGTTCAACAGACAACTGTTGTGAATTCAAACCACTAGCTTTTTATTAGCAACTGACACACATATTAAGTAAGCACCTGTTGAACTAATCAAAATACCAGTAAAAGGTTAGTTTCCTTCCGTCAGTTCCAACTTCTGGGGACCCCATGTGATAACAAGTAGAGCCTTCCTCCACACGTCCTTCAGGGCTATGACCTTTCAGAAACAGTTTACCAGATCTTTTCTCTGAGGCACCTCTGGGGAACCAAAGTAGAAGGACTATATTTACTCATGCATTCTATAAATACTTGGTGAGTACCTACCATGTGCCAGACTTGTTTGAAGTGTTGGAAGGAAATACAAATGACATACCTAAAGGAATTATCATTAAATACTCTGTATTGGAAAAAAATATATATCACATAGAAAAGAGAGTTGAGGCTATTATTCTCTAAATTCATTCTCTGAATGAATTCTCTTCTTCTCAAACCAAACTCTGCCAAGCAAATAACATTCCATTATCAGTCATTTATTCAGTACCTTTCATAGTTATAAACTTGGCCTAAACCGCCACAAGAGGATTTTTATTCTGAGACCCTAATCACAGCACTTCACCTCTTTACAGCTCAGGAGGAGTCCTGGGAGCATGGTGCATTACTTTCCAGGATGTCAGCCTAAAAGTCAGTGGTTCAGATACACCATCTGCTCCGTGAGAGAAAGATGGGCCACTTCTTCCCATCAAGTTTGATGGCCTTGGAAATCTGATGGAGGAAATTAACTCCACAGAAGTGAGTTTGGATTTTTGGAGAGTGTTATTTTTACAGCTTAGTATCCTCATCTGTAAAAAATGAGCTACCTGCTTGAGCTTGTCTCAGAAGAAGTGCAAACAGGGAGCTCCTTAGAGGCAAAGATGATGAAACTTAGTCTTACGTACTTTTACAGTCAAGAGGGGGACAATCTTTGGAAAAGAACATCACACTGAAAAAGGTGGAGGGTCAGACAAAGACCCTCAACAAGAACAACTGACGCAGTGACTGTCACAGTGCACTCCAGCGAGTCAGAGATCATAAGGATGGTGCAGCACAGTCTTCTGAACTGTCGTCAACCTGATGGCACCTAACTACACGACAAGGCCCCAGCTGTTGTGAGAACTAAAAACATACTTTGTTGTTAAGTTCTGTCCAGTGGTAGAACAAAAGACCTGAACACTTGTATAGTTTTCATTGTTTCTCCAAGTTCACAGAGCTTCCTCCCAAGGCAAGCCATTTTGGAAGTGGATGCCACTCCTGCTTTCAAGCTTGTTTAATCAGGGAGCTCTACCAAACACTGTCCACCAAGGGTAACCATTATCACATTGGACACATCAGTGTCACAGTTTTGCATCTCAGCAACCATGAGTTACCTCTGTACAGCAAAATATACATTAGGATATGTATTATTATTATTCAAACAAAGGATTAAAAAACCTAAATTAGTTTGTTTAACGGGTTTTCTGTTTGTTTTGTTTTCTCTTGATTTAAAACACTTCCTAAGATTCTCTGAAACTTGGTTGCAGATGTGTGATTCAAAAGTGAGCTGATAAACTGAAGAAAGGCCTGGATGAGGAAACGCAGGCTCTGGGTGACCTCAGGAGGTCACCCAGTGGAACTTAGCATCTCTCCCTTTCATCAGTCCTTTGGGAAAATAATTGGGTTCTAGCAGGAGCAGTTTTCACAAAACTTATCCTTTAAGGTCAAGTCTTTAAAAGGAAGACCAGAAATGAAAGAACTCAAAGCAAGTTCTACCCTGACTTTTAATAATCTCTACACTGTTAGCATCTCCCTGTCAAATGGGATTTTAATATAAAAGGGGGTACTGATTACTGGAAAATCCTAATAAGTACCAAATGTTTTAGACAGTTTTTGCCATGCACAATATTAAATATTTCCTACAGAAATCAGCTAATAAATTGATTTCCTAATACTTTCAAAAGTCTTTCTAGTCTCAACAACTCCTAGAAATTGTGACTTGTCAGGAGTCTTATTGAAATGTGTTTAATGAATTACTCGAAGGTTTCAGAAGAAAACATTGAAATATCACCGTTTAAAATTCTCGAAGTGCACACATTACAAGCATTGATATTTTACCTTTTTTATATTGTGGGAACCATTACAAAATGCTGGCAGGACAGTTCGACAACCACAAAGTTTATTCGTTTGGATTTTAAGGGAATCTCAGCCTTTTCAAGTCATTTAACATGTTCCTCCCCCAAAAATGGGCAGTCCTAGTACCTGTTAGCCTGATAGATAAGACTAAATTTGCCAGGTGAAAGGCAGACAGTTGGAATCCACTAGCTACTCTTCAAGAATGACAAGCAATCTCCCGCGTGCAATTGTTGTTGTTATTGTGTATTCTCAAGTCAGAACCAACCCAGAGATGGCCGACCCTCCAGTGGGCCTTCAGAAGCAGTTAATCATACGAAAGGAGATTGGCCATTCTTCTCCCAAAGAGCATCTGGTGGGTTTGAAACGCTTCCCTTGGGAAATGCAGCACAGCTTCTTAGCACTAGGGCCCCAGAGCTCCAGGTGCAATTCACAGCCTCTGAAAACCCACTGAGGGGTCAGCTATGAGAAAGTGGTTCTGGCTTCGTGGCAATGTGTTTGGGTTTTTGAGTATGTTGCTATTTGGATCTGGTTTTGGCGATATTTGGTTTCTGATTTTGGCAATCTTTGGTATTGTCAGAACTGAGTAGCATCTAAAAAGTATAAGAAAGTGCAATTACTGGAACATGTGGGGAAATAGAAATTTATTAATCACTTCTTTTCCCGAAAACTGTCATTTCCTTCTGTTGCAGCAAATGTGTGTGACCGCGCGCGCGCACACACACCCCCCCTCTCCCTGCCTCCCAAGGCAGAGAGGTAAGCTTACTTTGCAAGTGTCTGTCTGTTTTAAGCGGATCCAATCATCCCTCTGGGTAAAAGCAAGCGGAAGTGATTGAGAAATCCCTCCCAGGATGGGGCTTCCCTCGGGGTCCAAAAATCTACCTCACATTGGGCTCTTCACCCCATGCAGGCCCCCATCCCCGCCCGCAGTATCTAAACCTCTGGGCAGCCAGGGGTGCCTGAGTCCCCGCCCCTTTCGCTGCCCAGAGCTGTTCTTAACCTTTTTTGGACCGGAGACCTGCAGACCCTCTCGGGATAGGGGTAGAGGCTAGGGCAAGCACAGTTAACCAGGCTTGCGAAACTTTAGGAAGGCGAGCCGAGGATCTGAAACACTGCCAGAACTGCGGCATTAACAGTCCCATCCCCTAGAACTCCTGGAGTTGTACTGAATCAAGAGCTGGGCTCAGGTGCCAAATTCTGTCCCGAGCGAGAAACTGTAGGAAAGAGACACTGTTGCCCGAGGCCACTTTCATTTGTAAGAAACCAAAAAAGGACACAGGACAGAAATTTACAAAGAGGGGGGTTAAAAGAGAAGTGGAATACCGGCTGGTGGGATAAAGACAAACGAAAAGAGCAGAAGAGGGAACGATGGAGGGACAGTGTGGGAGGGAAAGACAGGAAAGCAGAGAGCAAGAGGTTGAGAGGGCCGACTGAGACATGAAGAAGGAGCGCCGAGAGCTAGGAGGCTGCGCGCTCCAGCCACGGGAGAAAACTTGGTGTCTCGCTGCCCGGGTCAGGGTGTCTCGGGGAAGCCCAGCTCGGCGAGCCAGCTGGGACGACCACCAGCCCCCGGCCCTCCCAGCGCCGCTGACCTCCGCCTCTCGCAGTCGGCGGGGCCTCCAGCTGTGAGTCCCGCACCGGCTGGCCAAGGAGGGGACACGGTCTGAAAGGAGGCGGTCCCCGCTCGCCTCGCTTTCTCCTCCCCTCTCCTCCTCCTAGAGGCGTGCACCCGGGGTATTTGAGAGACCGAGGACCCGCGGCCCCCCCAGCCCCCCATTCAAGAAGCCGCTCCGCTATCCCCGCCAGCACAGGGCGCCCGGCGCGCCTCCGAGCGCACGTCCCGCGCCTTCTCCAGCCGGCTCGCTGGGCATTATGCGGCCGAGCGGCCGAGCCCCAGTCCTCCGCCTCCTCCTCCTCCTCCTGCAGCCCGAGCGGCTCAGCTCCCGGCAGGCGGCGGCGCTGCTCAGCCGAGCGCACTCAGGACCCTCTCGACGAGACCTCAGCGACTCCTAAAGTCAAAAGTTGGCGGCGGGCGCTGGGCTCCGCGCGCTCTCCGCGGCCGCTGCCGAGCTCAGCCGCCGCAGCCGGGGCGCCAGGAGGGAGGGGTGGGGGCGGCGGGGGGAGGGGTGGGGAGCACCATGCAGTTTGTATCTTGGGCCACACTGCTAACGCTCCTGGTGCGAGACCTGGCCGAGATGCGGAGCCCAGACGCCGCCGCGGCCGTGCGCAAGGACAGGCTGCACCCGAGGCAAGGTAACAAGGCTTGGGGCCCCGGGACCCCCACTGCCACCGTCGCCCCCAGCCCCCGCTCTCCGCGTCCGGGCGGGGGCCTCCCGCAGAGAAGCCCCCCCCTTCCCCCTTTTCCTCGAAAGAATTATCTCCTGCTTTGCAAAGAGGCTTTCTCTTCTTTGGGTCATTCCCAACCAACTGTGAGTAGCAAGACACTGGATCGAACTTAGTCTCTGCCCCCGACCCCTCGCTTTTAGCCTCCTCTGTCCCCTTCCTTGCTTAGAAACTGGGAGTCATCTGATAGCGGCATGTTTTATTTTATTCAGAGTATTTAACAGAATCTAAAATGCTCTTACGTAATTTGACTTAAGTTTTGGATATTGTGACTCCGAGTGGTACCCTTAGAGCCTAGCACGGCTTTGGCTATTACTGGAAGTTAGTAGGTGCTCACTAAATATCTGTCCACTGAATGATAGTAAAAGGGATTGTCTTAAAAGGGCAGGAAAGAAAGGAAGGCAGTCCCTTCACACTGTCATTTTTACTCGAATTTTGCGGGGACCTGTCTTGGCTGATGGACTTCCGTTTCTTTTTGCAGTGAAATTATTAGAGACTCTGAGCGAATACGAAATCGCGTCTCCAGTCCGAGTGAACGCCCTCGGAGAACCCTTTCCCAGGAACGTGCACTTCAAAAGAAGGCGACGGAGTATTAACTCTGCCTCTGACCCCTGGCCAGCCTTCGCCTCCTCCTCTTCCTCTTCTACCTCCTCCCAGGCGCATTACCGCCTCTCTGCCTTCGGCCAGCAGTTTCTATTTAATCTCACCGCCCATGCCGGATTTATCGCTCCACTGTTCACTGTCACCCTCCTCGGGGCGCCCGGGGTGAACCAGACCAAGTTTTATTCGGAGGAGGAAGCAGAACTCAAGCATTGTTTCTACAAAGGCCATGTCAATACCAAGTCCGAGCACACGGCGGTCATCAGCCTCTGCTCCGGAATGGTAAGTGGACGCGCGCCCCTCTCCGGCCCCTCCGGTCCCCGCCTCTTGGTCCTTCGGAAGCATCCGCTCCTTGAAGACTTAATTGCTCTCCAGGCTGGAGACGCGCGCGCCGCGTCTCCACTCCGAGGTTAAATGCCAGGGCGAAACTTGCTCGCGTCTGGCAGTTTGGGTACTTAAGTCTGTGCGCTCACTGACACTTGCGAGGAGCGCACGCCATCTGCCCCTAAGGAGTTCTGGATGTTTCCGGGCTCTCCCAATAGCTCTGAGGCACACTGCTCTACGCAGCCAGGCGGCCTAGAAGTGTTTCCAAACTCAGAAAGTTGCTCGAGTTGCTGCTGTTCTTTGCAACCGACGCGGCCGCCTGGGAGCGCAGTGGCCGAGCGCTGGCGCGTCTGGAGTCGAGAGTGGGGACTGAGGATCCCCAGCCGGGCTGTGGGGAGTCCCTCCGCTGTGTGTGGTGGGGGACGTGTGCACAGTCTACAGCTTCCACGCTATCCCGCGAGCCCTGCGCTGAAGGGATTGACAGCGAGAGGGTCCCATCCCAAGAACGAAAGGGCGGGCCAGGGACTCTGGGGGCGGGGAGAGGGCGGGGCCTGCACAGTCAACTCGAGTTAAGGTAGAGGTGGGGGTTGGGGTACGGAGACGTCCCAAGTCTGCACCCTACAGGAGGGGTGACCGCGAGTAGACACGGTGGAAGGATTCTAGGACGTCTTTGCTTTCCCTGGAGTTTTAACTCTCAAGGAGTTCCAAAAAGCCGGGAGGGGGAGCACGTTTCCTTTGGAGTCTGTGAGAGAGGGCGGGGCAGCAGCCTCCCAGCGCCACCAAATACGCATTTAGTAGATCAGGGCTGGAACCTGGCCTCCTACATGCTCTCCGGGTCACCTGCCCGCCTAACCCTCTTAGAGGGCATTCATTCCCTGTCCTCTTGGCATCTGTGGGTCCGCTGTAAGATTCCGGCCCCCCGAGAGTGGTCCTTGACTTCTCCAAGCGACGTGCGTTTCAGCTACGCGCATGTGACGCAGAACTTCACAGGGTCAGAAGGTCCCCACGCACAGCGCTGTGTGCGCAGTGGGGGTCTCAGATTGGGCTCCCTGGTGGTGCCCTAACCTCTCTCTCTGAGCCCCCACACTCCTCCCGTCCCCATTTGTAAAGGATAGTTTGGACACTTACCAGGACGCTGGGCTTTGTGCGCTGCCATGCCTGGGTCTTGAGACTGTCTCCCTGAGATGCGGCATCCTTCTCCGCTGTGACGCAGAGAGGCCTACTGGGGTCCTAGGCAAGTGTAGGAAGGCGGGAAGAGAGGATTGGCTTCCAGAGAGATAGGGAAGGGGCTAAGCCCGGTGGCCCCCAGCAAAGCACGTCCAGCCGTGGCTCCCAGAGCGCGCTGCCGAGATTGTTAGGGGTGGGCGGAGACCACAGTTTGGCAAAGGGGGGGATGGGGTGCTGCGGTGAGTCATCGTCATCTCTGCCCCGAGACCCAGGGCCTGAGAGCTGGAATGCTTTCCATTGTTCGGAAGGTAAAGGCCCGGGTGGACAGAAGTCAGGGGCCTCGATTCAGTTCATCAGTGAACCCCAGACACTAAGAGAGTAGCCCCCAATTCCAGGATCATAGGCAGATAGCGCGGTGTGTACGTCAAGTTTGTAAACAGTATTTGCCCCTCCTCCCTCCCCGCCTCCGGAATCTGAGCGGTCCCTGCAATTGTATAAATATTTGGCTGCTCAAAACCTTCATTTTCATTGGTGATTTTTTTAAAGGGTTACGCGCATGTGGTCTGATTGGCACCTGAGGGTCAAGGCTTCTGAAACAACTGCCTGGTCCCTAAAGACTTATCTAAATTGCAGTTAGTTGGTAATCTGCATCTTTTTCTTTTGGGAGGGAGTGAAACAAGAGGGTCTGACATGTAAAGATCATGCTGTGTATATCCTCAACTGTGAATACAGCTCTAAAAGTCCCACCTCTTTGTCTTCCTTAAGGAATCTTTCTTCCAAGGACTTTCCCTTGCAAGGTCTGTAGCAGGAAATCTTTCCATTCTATAGAATAGGTCATGCCAATGCCCCAGTGCCAAGACTACCAACTTTGCGAGTTCCATCTTAAACGGTGGCAATCACTTATTTGTAACATCCCTGCCTTAAATCGAGCCCTCTTTACTTGTATCTGTCTCTCTCATCAGGACTGATGTCCAGCCAATATTTCCATCTGTCCTTTCTCCCCAACCAGGCCACACACTCTTAGCAGTTTATGGTGACAGGAACTCATTGGGCGCATACGTTTTGACACAGCTCCTAACTGCCTCGGGAATAAGCGTAAGCTCCATCTGGTATATAAGATCATTGACTACATAACTCTCACACACATCCTTTCCCATCTTTCAATGTTGGCTTCACAAATCCTGTATTCAGGCAATCTGTTTTATGTTCCTTTCCCTGGAATCCTTTTCATTGCAATCCTTTGTCATTGCCTCTGCTTCTTTGGCTTTAGTTGGTCTTTTCATCCAACTTTGCATCTCAAACCCCACCTTTCTTTGTAAGTGTAACTCATATAGCATGTCTTCTTCCTTGGGAGGTCTTTTCCTCGCCCTTCAAATGAATGCCTTCCCTCCCTTTCACAGGTTTGTCTGTCTCTCTCTCTCATGATGCTTTCTATGGTGTCTCTTTTGTTTGAGTTCTGAGTTTACATGTTCTGTTTCCCTCACTGATAGCAGTGGTGGTATCAATTCCTTTCTTTCATACATTGTAGCTTTATTGTATATTGTAGTTGTTTGGGACATACATCTGAATAGTCACTGTAACCAAGAAAGGCAGCTCTGGTGGCAGAGTCTTTAGCAAATTGAACTGTGAACCCAAAGGCCGTGCAGCTCTGGCCGTTCAAACCCTCCAGCTGCACATAATAGGAAGATGGGCAATCTCCTTGCTATAATTTACAGTCTTCAAAACCTGCTATAGAGGCACTATGAGTTGGAACAGAGTTGACTGTAATAAGTATTAGTGTTCCTCGTGTTAATATTTGTGGTATTAACCATGGAAAGGTAAGTCAGGTTCAGCAACTATGTTCTGAGTCAACAGGAATTGGCTCAGTGGCAATGGACTTTTATTTTTTCTAGGTGGGATGCACTTTGCTAAGAACTTTGCAAATGTGACTTCATTTTCTTTGGACAGTAAGCCCTTGTTGTTGTGTTAGTGCTTTCTGGTCACTTCTGGCTCTTGTGATCCAGGTACCACAGAACAGAACACTGCCTGCTTTTTCACCATCCTCATGATGTTGCTGTGTTTGAGGATCATTGCGGACACTGTCAAGCTATCTCTTTGAGGGCCTTCCTATGTTTGTTTCATTGACGTTCTGTTTTACCACGCATGCTGTCCTTTTCCAGGGACAACCACCCTGATGACATGCCCAAAGGGTGGGACACAAACTCCCCCATCCTCCCCATCCTCACTTCTAAGGAGCATTTTGACTGTGTTTCTGCCAACACAGGTTTATGAGTTTTTCTGCAGCTTGTGACAGCCCCAGTATTCTTCACAGGTGAAGAATAACTCTCTACAGTAGTTTCCTATCAAGTTAATACATACAAAAGCTGAAATTCAGAGTGGTAAAAAAACAAACAAACAAAAAACTAGCAGAAGATATGTGGGCAAGATCGGTAGTAAGGCTGGAACCTACAACTGTCCACTTCCCAGCCTCATACACCATCGTTCCCATGTTGCAAAAGGAATGTGTGGATAAGGTTGAAAGTGGCATAGTTGTTAATGGCACCACCTTGGATTCATTGTGGTCGACATACGCTCCATCAGTGTGAACTGAGAGGACATCTAGGGTTTAATCCCCCACCCCCACCCCCAGAGCTCATAATCTTCCCAAATTTTCTAGACTTTCTCTTAACACTCAGAAATGCTTTCTATCAGCAGCCTGTGGAAATGATCATGATAGAACTTGAGTGCCAGGAGCTGCTTCTTAGAGAGATGAATTTGGATAGCAGCTATTGAAATCACCGATAAGGCAGAGAATAAAAAGAGTTCCCCTCCGCACTAAGTGGGCAAGCATTTTCCTTTTAAGTGGCACTGTGAGAAAGCTGGGTCACTGGTACCCTCTCTACTTGTTCTCTCGCTTCCAATTGCCGAGCTATTTTAATCCTGTCCCTCATCTGTCTTCATTTGCAGCTGGGCACATTCCGGTCCCATGATGGGGATTATTTTATTGAACCACTACTGTCCATTGATGACGAAGCGGATGAAGAGGAACAAAACAAGCCCCACATTATTTATAGGCGCAGCACCCCCCAGAGGGAGCCCTCAGCAGGAAGGCACGCGTGTGACACATCAGGTATTTGCTTCTTTAAGCCGAGGCCACACTCCTCTACCCTTGCTCGGTGTGACTGATTCTTGATCATACTACAGATGTCACTCTTTACCATCATCTGAGCACTGCTGTGTACATTGTCTTCTATTGAGTTTGTGTGTGAGGTAGGTATACATACACCCACATTGCACAGATGTGGAAGTTAAAGAGAGATCTAGTCGCTTATCTAAGGTTACAACAGCTCTGTGACCGAGCTGGGATTCGAACTCAAAAAGCAGCAACTTTAAGCACACTAAAAACAAAGCTGCAGCTTTTGTTGAAGTTGCTGACATTTTGGATTGTTGTTGTTGATTGCCGTTGAGTCGAGCACGACTCATAGCGACCCTATGAACAAAAGTCCTGAAGCGTTTCTATAACTCTTGTCATTTTTCAAAGTTCATAGAGTGTCCAGAGGCATGTTGTTTACGAAATGGATGCCACTCCTGCTTCCAATTAAGCTTGAGTAAAATCTACAGACTATTTTAAGGGCATTTCATTTAATTGCTTCTTTTCTCCTGATGTTTTAATATCTCCTTTGTGTTTTGTTTTCATTATTGTTTATGTTGGAATTTTTTTCCCTTTTTTTAAACGAGACTATTTTGTTGTTGTTGCTGTTGTTGTTAGGTATCTTTGAGTTGAGTGCAACTCTTAGCGGCCCTATAAACAATACGTCTGAACCCTGTCCTAGCCTGTGCCATCCTCACGCTTTCTCACACTCTCAAGCGGAGTGCTACAGTCACTGCATCAATCCATATGGCAAAGGGTCTTCCTCTCTTTCGCGGTCCCTCCCACTTCCCAAATAATAATTCACAAAAACTTCTGTGTATTTATTGGAATTTTCCCTATCAATTTCAGTGTGTCAACCAGCCAGTGTTGGTTTAATTGATAATGTTCTTTGGCATTAGGGAGGAGGAGAATGGACATGAAGGTTGTACTGTCAGTTTTCACTCAAATTCTTACACTTTCTCCACGAGACTTTTGTCTGCCCCGTGTACGTTCCTCATGGCTTTATGCAAACATGTTTGGCCTTTGTTGAGGATATGTCCTTCCCGGTAACCTGGGTGGCTTCTGTCTGTCTATATTTACCGGCCAGCTGTCTTGTCAGAGCCCTTCACTGTCTTGAAGCCTGGTTATTCTCTAGCTGCTGAGACCCTATCATTGCAAATTGTCACTCAATTTGGCCTTATCTCATAGGGTGTTTGTTGAAATATTCCTTTAAAAAACCCTTAACTTCTGGTCCCTAAAACTTTATCTTTCTCTGGATCCTTTGCCTTCTCAAAAAAAAAAAAAAAAAAAAAAGAAAAGTTGTTTTTTCAAATATCATAGCTTCTCAGTGTTTTTGAAATCTCCATATAAGAACACATTTTAAGAGCAAAAGGAGGATTCCTAAAATGCTTTGAAATGGCAGTTCCGTTCGTTTTATAACTATATGAGGTTGTTCGAGTCTGGCAGAGTATAATCCTCTAGTCCCATTTGGAATTATTATCTAAAGTGAATGTTTTAAGTAAAACTTAATATTGGCTGCTTATAACATGAGACTAACCCTGCCTAAGAGTATATAGCATCTCGGGTCTTTCTGGCTTTTATCTATGCCAGCCCTGGGTTCTTGCCACAATGCTAGATGGAAGTGAGCTTGTCAGATTCTCTAAAGAGCCAGAAGGTAGTTTATCTTCAGAAGGGAGTGTACTGAGAAGCAATAGTTCCAGCAGATTACAGGGTATACAGCCTCCCAGCCACCAGTAAGTTTCATAGGCAAGACATTTTATCAAACATTTGTTAGACCGTTGAACTTTACCTTGTGATCTGCCAGTTGGCACGTGCACATTGTATATATCTAAGAATAGATATGACAGAGCTTCAAACTAGATCATTCCAGCTTGACCCCTGGCTAACCATCTCACTTACTACTGTCAATCAAAAAGTCCTCAAGGCTTTACCTTTTCAGATTAAGCACCCAAGTCATTGGATATGTGATTTTGTGTCAGAGGAGAGGTATGGTCAAGTCCTGTAAAAATCCAAGTAAAAGAGAACCTTAAGTAGGTAAGCCTTGGGAATAGTGAAAGAGATCTTAACTTTAAAAAAAAAAAATTAAATTGAATTCCACTAAGTTTACTTTGTATTTGAGATGTTCTGAATCAGAATCTACTTTTTTTTTTACTCATAGTAAACATGTTGATTTATTCTTTAGATGAATTTGAACAGAATCTACTTTTTAATGAGCTCTCCAGTGATCCTTATGACTCTTCTTCTAGATTCTTGTTTCTACATAAAGATCTCCCTAGAATCTAATGAAAAGGTAGCTCCTGATTCAGTATAGTCAGGGTGTTGTTGTATACCAGCGCATCAGAAGTGATGCATAGCTGACCCTCGGCGGGTTTTCAGAGGCAGTTGGTCACTCTGGAGGAGACTACCCATCCTTCTCCTGTGGAGCAGTAAGTGGGTTCAAACTGCATACCTTTGGGATTGCAGCACAGCTTCTTGCTATTAAGGTAGGCAAATTCTGAGCAGAGGATTGAGCCAGAATGACCTGGTTTGAAGGAATGGTAAGAAATAGATTACTCTTCCACTTTTGTTGTATTAATAGGCCGTTTGATGGGTTTTCAACTTTTTACAATTTTATATTGGTTTATTTACAAAGTTCGGATACATAGTTTTTCACACCGGATCTTTCCCATTTCCTTCACCCCGCCCCCCCATCAAATGTGTGAACCAATGATTAATCACCCCTCCCCCCACCCCAACCCTGCCCATCCTCACCCCTCTGCTTCCATCCTCTCCTCATCCTTTTTTTATTCATTCATTGTTGCACGTTTTCTTCCCTCCCTCTCCCTCTCCTTTTCCCCAGTTCACTTTGCAATGTACCTTGTATTGATATGTTTCAAAGATAATCAAGTATTATTTTCAATACTTAACTTAGTTGAGCAGTAAGTCTTTGTGATATGCATGTACTTGGAAATATCTCCAAATGAGAATTTATGGAATGATTATTATCTTATACTGCTGGTCGTGTACACAGAAAATCATCTTCATTTCATTTTATTACAAAGCTCCATGATGGGTCCCGTTCTCATCTCCTTTATACCTGATAAGGAAGCTGAGGTACACAGACATGAGGTCACTCACCCAATATCTACTCCACAACTTCAACTCAGGCTTGCCATCTTATTCCTTGGCCTGTTTTCTCTGTGCACATGTCTATATGAAAGAACACAGATCTTACTTAATCCTGTCATTCAAAAAGTCCGCAAGACTTCACTCTTTAAAATTTGGTAGCCAAGACATTGGATATATAATTTCATATTGGGGAACAAGTATGGTCAGGTTCTTTTAAAAATCTAAGGAAGAGGGACTCTTAAAGCGGTGAGACTTGAAGACAGTGAAAGATATTTAATTTTTTTTTTCTAAGAAGCTAATTTGCATTCCAGTCATTATTGATCATGGGATCTTTAACTAACTTGTTCCAAATCACCAATGCCATTTTTGAGTTTTCCACCTGGTTTCCATCTGCCAATGACCATATGGCGTGGCCTTCCTTAACCCTGCGTGGTCAATCAGTCAGTTTTGATTGGCTCTTCCAAAGGTTGCTGCTGGACTCTGCCACTCTGGTTTCTCTCTTCCAGCTGCTTCTGCACCCCTTCTTTGAATTGAGATGCAGGAGGCTCAGAACAGTTGGAAAGAACTTTGGAATATGGCACAATTCACCAGCAGCCATTAGAGGGATGGACCAACAGGTCATGGAAATCTCCAGAACCAGGTAGCCTTTGAACAAGGAGTGAACAGAGATGTGGGTGGGAATACTGCCTTTTGCCAAATACAGAAAGGACCATATCAAGTCCACTCAGCATCAGTGACTTTTCCCATTGGTTCTAGGCAAGAGTGGATCTTGGAAGTACCCTGGGAACATTATACACACTTAAGTTACTGAAAACAAGACAAACAAGACAAAACTCTTACTCCCAGATGAGAGGATGAGGCTGGCAGGAATTTTAACAGATGCTTCAGGTGATTCAAATGTTCAGCTAAGGGTTGAGAGGTACTGCTGTGATTCTAGTGAAGGCAGCAGCCACTGGTTATCACTGCTGTGGGGTGCTGTCAGTGGTCATGGAACAGAACAAAAAGAGAAAAGCACCATCCCATCCTCCACCAACCTCATAGTCGTTATTGCTCTTGAACCTGTTGTTTACAGCCACTGAGTCTCTGCCTCTCTTTTGCCAGCCCTCTGCTTTACAGTGTTATATCCTTCAAAGGTCAGTCCCTCCAGATAACATGTCCAGAGGACGTGAGACACAGGCTTACCAACCTTGCTTCTGAGGAACATTCTGATTGTATTTTTTTCCAAGATAAATTTAGTCACTCTTCTGGCAGTCCATGATAAATATTTCTTTTTTTTTTTTGTCATTCCAACTCATTGATGTAGAGGCAGAATTGACTCCTAATTGACCCTTCAGTAGGTCATCAAGAGACTGTAAAGTGCATGAGAGAAGATTTCCCACCAGAAGATTTTAGGCACCAGCGAGTTACCCACAGATTAGGCCAGCAGAGCTGCCTTTAATAGGACATCTATCTCCCCATCGGAGAATTGAACCCTAGTCTACTGAGGACCACTCACCACTGTGCTAACAAAGATGGCTACGAAATAGGAATAATCCCTGAACTCCACCAATTATAAAGTACATTAAGAATCTCTAGCGCCTGTGTAGGGGGCTCTGGTGGCAACGGTTGGACAGTCTCTTTCCATGCGATTTACAGCCTCTAAAAACTCACTGGAGGGTCAGCTATAGGCTGGTTCCCACTCGACAGTACAGTAATGCTCGGCTGTACCACAATAAGTGCCATAGTCATTAAGGATTTGCACTGTTAATTGCAAAGACAGTGCCTCTCTGGCAGGTCACATCCCCCAGTGGCTCCTCAGGAGAAAGATACACAATTGACTGTGCCATTTACAGCCTCCGGAAGACTCAGTGGGGAGCCGTGAGTCAGGTCTG